AAAATGTATCGGTCCCAATATTCTGCGGGGTAAAAATGATTTATCATAGTGATTCCTAGTGGAGAAACAAATTGCTTTCCAAAATTGGTTTTTATATGCTTGACGCAGATACGCGTTTCCATTTGCTTAGGGACACATTCGACCTTCTGAGGTGAAGGCTCACATCTCTGGTGTAAAAGCTTCGGAGCCATCTAACTAAGTGTTTGAATCTATATATAAATAGTTTTCTGACTTCGAACTCTCAGTTTTCATAGCGCTAACGTGAAGATGTTGGATAACCCAGTGCCATTCCTCTTTGATGTTGTTAATAGCGGCACCTCAAAAAGTGACTAATGAACCGAATAAGTCACAGTTCTTGGTGGTTTTGGCTTTTGGTTGTTTGAGCTTAACGGCTTACTCTCCTTTCCGTAAAAAATCGAATCTCGAGCAGAGTTTCATCCCGTGTGGGATTGTGGGACAACAGTGGCATTGGTTAGACAAGACTTTCCATTTACTACGATGTTGTCTATTTCGTTGCGATACTGTCCAATGGGAGACTCCCACGTCCAACGTTGAGGGTGGGGTATCTGGAATTGCGAGTGACCATGAATGGTGATAGTTTTCATGATAAACTTAGACAGCTACTCACTCTGTTCCATTCTAATCCGTGGGTCCCAATGTGACATTCTTTAGACGTTCTTGGTCCAATGTTGGCGTTAAAATCATCATTGATGACCTTGAAGAATGTATGTTCTTCTCTGTAGAGCTTCTCCAAGTCAGTATAGAACGCTTCGATTTCCTTTTGGTAGTTTGATGTCGGTGCATGAACAACGAAGATTGTCAAAGCCGATGTTGATCCACATTTCTTCAATCGTAACTGTCCGGTTCGGGTTGTTAGCTATTTGAATGAATCGATGTTCGTAGCCAACTGATGTTGACAAGAAAGCCCATGCCGTCGACTCCTCCACTGTCGCATGTTCTGAGCAACAGTTCTTCTCTGGTGTTACAGACGGCATTGAATGAGCGGCGTCACCTCATCTCAGCCAGTCGAATGATGTTGTATTTTATCGTTTTGCATGCATGTTGAAGTTCACTAGCAAGCACTTAGATGCTAGTGAGCGTCCATCATAGGTACTGGTCGTCAGCTTAGTCTTTTGAGATTTAAGCAGCCTAGAATGGCCCCGAGATTCTAGTGGCATTTCCGTGCTCGCCTCACTCAATCATGCCACATCGGGAGCACTGTCGGCGGGAGGGGAATGAGGCCCACTTATTTTTCAATGTTCAACGTTTGATACGCACCTGTAGCTTGCTCACCCCTGAAAGTGACGGTTGCGTATACTCACAGGTAGTTTGTCTGTTTCTCCCAGAGTAGACGGAGGAGCTTACTTGTTATTTGTTGTGTGCGACTCCTTACTTCCTCCTATGTATCTAAAGTCAATTGATTACAGGTTTGTAGTATTATTGATTCGTCGAATCATCTTATAATAGTATCATGACAGAGCACGATGTGATATAGAACCACAAGGATGTTGAAATATGAGCAGAACTCGTGAAAGCACGTGGGCTCCAAACCCACGATTACCCTTGCCGAGAGCTTACGTGCTATCCACCACATCATGAGGTAGCTGTACTTCATGTCGTACCTTGCGATGAATAGATAATAGGCAGTAAATAGAACTTAAAACATCATTTGTTAGATTTTTCGGAAACTAATCGGATTTGCAATGTCACTCTTTTATATGTTTCAAAATAATTTTTTTAAAAATTTTGTTTTGTTGTGTATCACTGCGAAGCCATTTTATGTACTTTCACTTTGCGCTGTTTAATTTTAATGTAAGTGGTACTTCGAAAAATTTTATAGGTTACTGCTTACTTTTATACTTTGATGGCTCGTCTTTAATGGTTGTGCAGGCCTCTGCATAATCTCCATTTTTGGAAGTTTTGTTGGCTTAGCTATTGTGATTCCCTGGAGTCTCGAGGTCCGCCGTAGCAGTTTGCCTAGGTTCAACACCACCATAAGCAGTCGCGGCCTTTGTGGATCAAAGGGGGTTTGCCATCATGCGACTAGTTTCATAACAGGGCAGTGGTGGATCTTGGTATTGGCTTATTCTTAGCTAGGTTTCCCGATGGAAACACCGGACTCCTCAGCATGGGAGAGTCTGTAGGGGGATGAATCCCTCCGCTGTAAATCACAGCCTGACATCCATGAACACTTCCAAACCACAATGAAGTGGTAAACCTTTGGGAGGAATTTTATAGGTTAGAAACTTTTATGTCAAAACAGCAGTTCTGATGCAGTTTTCTTCTACGAATGCAAACTCAGACGTTTGCACCACAAATGATTTGGAAAATCAATGTGATATAAGGTTGAGGAACTGCAACTTTGGAAACCTTCGTTGTGGCGAATATGATGTTGAAGAAGAAGTAGGTCACGCTATTTTTTTGCTATTGACGACCACGGATCTCCTTCATATGAGTGATCTCGAGCCGGTTAGTCGCGAAGCTACGTGGCGCGTCCCAAGGTGGCGGATAGGGAGTTAATGGCAGACCAAAAGGGACCTTTGCTTTCCTGAGACGTAGATGGATCCAGGGGATGGACTCACTGTTTGTGCTGCGCCGATTTGGCACACTTTCTGTATATGCTAGGCGTATTCATGCATGCTTCTGGTGGGTGAGTTCTCGCTTATGCGGATTGTATTCTACGAATCAATTCGGCCAAAAACCTGCAATCAAGTGACTGGGAAGTATGAGGGAGGCGGTTAGGAGTCCTCCAAGAAATAAGCTCCACGTTCACTTTGGGAGAGCCTGGCAAGCTACCCGTGAGTATACCTAGCCCCTGCGTTAAGAGCACAGCAAGCTATACAAGGGTATCAAAATGCTAAACACAGTAGAAAAAAAAACGGGCCTCATTCCGCCTACCCCAAAAGAGCCCGCAAATCGGCACCGTTGAGAAGGACGAGTACGGTGAGGCTCCTAAAATCTCAGGACCAATGGAAGCTGTCTGGATTACAAAGAACTATGGTGACGATCTGTACCTACAATGCATGTACACTTGCACCCGAGACCTCGATAGAAGACTTACTCATGCAGACAAGAAGGATAATGTACGACGTCATCGGCCTCGCCGAGATGAGACGACGCCACCCATTTAACCCATCTATGAAACCGGAAAAGAACTTCCTCGAAACTTGCTACAGTATAGGAGTCGGCGTTCTCGTCAACACGAGTTTGTCCATGAAGATCGATTTATTTGAACAACTTACAACACGAATCGGACGTTTACGATTAAAAAAATGTAGATCAATACCGCCTTTGATAATCTTCGTCGTTTATGCGCCAACATCAAAAATGACATGGAAGAAGTCGAAGCGTCATATGTAGACTTGGAGAAATTCTACAGAGAAGACCATACATTTTTCAAGGTAATCATTGGAGACTTCAACGCCAAGATTGGACCAAGAAGAACGTTTGAGGAACGTCACATTGGGATCCATGGATTGGAATGGAATGAACAGGATGAGCGGCTATCTGAGTTCATCATGGCGACCAAGACCATTCATGGTAATTCACAATCCCCGGAGCCCCACCCTCAACGCTGGACGTGGGAGTCTCCCATTGGACAGTATCGCAACGAAATAGACAACATCGTAGTAAATAGAAGGTTTTGCCTAACCGATGTCGCTGTTTTCCCACAATTCTATTATTTTATCATTATTGATTTCCGGAGCTAGATAGCTGGAGCATTGGGAGATATTCGCTTCATTGAGCGTGAATGGGGCATACGAAAGCAATCCTTTCTTCATGAACATCGTTTTTGTGAGATTTAGTGGAAGACCAATCTTTCCACAAGGTTATCAAAGTCGGTAAGCATACGTTCCGCTTGGGTAATGTTTGGTGTTATAAGGACGATGTCATCAGTAAAGCGAAGATAGTGTAACTGCCGACCGTCGATTTTCACTCCCATATTATTCCATTCCAATGTTCGCATGATGTTCTGTAGGGTGGCAGTAAATAATTTTGGCTAGATGGTATCGCCTTGCCTAATTCCTCTTTTGACGTCAATGTTAATATCGTTGTAGAATGGTGATACTCAGGTTGTGAAATTTTTCTACAGCTCACGAAGGATCTTTATGTACTGAGTAGGTATTCCTCGACTATCAAGGGCTTCCATGACTGTTTCTATCTCAACTGAGTCAAACGCCTTCTGTAAATCGATGAAAATAAGGCCTTCTGTAAATCGATGGAAGTGAGACAGGGCGGTCTTTTGAACTCTCTCGATACTTCCATGAGCCTTGTTATGGTGTAGATGTGGTCTATCGTACTAAATCCTTTTCGAAGCCCTGCTTGCTCGCATGGCTGTCCTTCGTTCAATGTTCTGTCAATTCTGTTTAGGATCACTAGAGTGAAAAGTTTGTAGACGACAGACAGCAAGCACATTGGGCGACAGTTACCGATATTGTGTAGGTCACTGTTCTTGAATATAACACGGCCCTGCTGGTCTTCCACTGAGTAGGGGCCTTGCATTCAGACAGATAACGTGTGAAGACCTGAGCCAGTGTGTTTACGAGGACTGGTGTAGGGTTCTTCAGGTGTTCTCGTGTTATCCTGGCCGATTCTGTTCGATTTTTCACCGACGAAATGGTATGTCGGATTTCGGAAGGAGAACCGGTGGTACGACATATCTATCTTCCTTTATTTCATATGATGGAGAGTGGACCTGGCTATCGAAGTGATTTAAGCAGTATTCGTGAATGATTTTCTCCATTGCCTTTCTCGACGGTTCCGTCTGGATGTCGGAGTGCAATCATCTTGGTCTTGTAATTGAGATAGAAGCAGTCTTGGAAGCCCTTGATAGTCAAGGAGTCCCTACACAGCACATAGCGGTTCTTCGTGAGCTGTAAAAAAATTTCACAACCAAGATATCACCATTCTACAACGATATTAACATTGACGTCAAAGGAGGAGTTAGGCAAGGCGATACCATCTCGCCAAAAATATTTACCGCCACCCTCCAGAACGTCATGCGAACATTGGAATGTGATAATATGGAAGCGAAAATCGACGGTGGGCAGTTACACCATCTTCGCTTTCCTGATGGCATCGTCCTTATAACACCAAACATTGGCCAAGCGGAACATATGCTTGACGACTTTGATAAAGCCTGTGGAAGGATTGGTCTTCGACTAAATCTCACAAAAACGATGTTCATGAAAAACGGATTGGTTTCGCATGTTCCATTTACGCTCAACGGAACGAATATCTCCGAATGCTCCAGTTATATTTATGTAGGTCGGGAAATCAATACGATAAACGACCTAGCTCCGGAGCTGAGCAGAAGAAAACGAGCGGCTTGGGGAGCCTTCAAGAGCATCGAGGATGTAGTGAAGAGAACAAACAACACCCGACTCCGTGCCCACCTTTTCGACTCAGCGGTACTTCCTGCCCTAACGTATGCGTCAGAAACCTGGTCGCTGCGTAAGCCGGATGAAAGGTCATTCAACGTTATCGAACGCGCAGTCGGAAGGAGGACGCTAGGAGTATCCCGTTTCACCCAAGTAAGGGATGGGATTCAGAGCTCCGATCTGCGTCAACGATCAAAAATCAAAGATGCCGTTCTGTACGCCAAACAGTTGAGGTTAACTTGGGCCGGACACGTAATGCGTATGAATGACAACTGATGCACAAGAGCCGTTAGTGACAGGATTCCTCGTGATGTTGAACGTACTGCAGGAAGACCACCGACCCGATGCTCAGAGTCCTTCACGAAGAGCCTACAAGAGAGTTATGATGTTCGGCGAATCCCTAAAGCGAGCAGGACCCACTGGGCTACTCTTGCACGCGATGGGGAAAAATGGAAGATTTACTGGCGCCCTCTCGAATAACTCGATGATCAGCTGGACTACAAGTGATGTGGGTGATTGGCGACAATGAATTGAAGGTTTTACATTAAGCAAATACAGCGATAATTCTTGGAAAACCTGCAGAAGAAATCAGAAGATTCTGAACTGTTTCGGAGCATTGAAGAATGGAAGTTGAAGAAGCTCGACAAATGGGTGCTGCGCTTATTTAGTAACAGTCAATGAAGCCGATGTTTTGTGATATAGTCGGAGCAGCTGCGCAACTGGAACGATACGTTTCTCGTTCGTATTGCGATGTGCGATGTAAGATTGATCCTCTATGTTAGCCGGCGACGATTGGCCGAGTAGTATGATCGCGATGAAGCTCCGCGACACTGCCCAATGCCGAAATCGCTTCAAAAAAAGGTCGCGATGATCGTGTGATGTTGTATAGCTGGTTTGACCTATCACAGCTCCCTGAATCCAGGTGAAACAATTATGGCGGAGATGTACGTCTAAGAAATCGACGAAGTGCACCAGAAATATCAACAGCTGTGCTCTATAGTGGTTAGCGAGTGGAATAGTTCTTAGTATCGGCTTGCTGAGGCGAACAATTACTAGGGGAGGAAAATAATAATCGACTTCGTACGAATTTTCCACGTGGGACTATTCGCTGTTGTCACAGAATGAAATCTCAAACCTGGGTTATAAAACCCTTATATAATAATATTAATATAATCATAAACGCACGAGAAGGTTAACGTATGTAGAAACCGTAGGTACAAACGTAATCACTATGAAGGATTCTTCGTATTCTTGTTGAGCAAAGGCGACGTGTTATTTTATTCTTTATTTACGAACAAGCTGACGTATCAGTGGATTTCGCCTTCCACAGAGCCTGGAAAGGTCAATTTGAGAGCAATCTATTCTGCCAAACACCTCCATAACCAAACAGAGTAAACGCTAATCCAAGATTTCAATCACGTTGATCACAGAACAGCTCCTTTACACACTGACCGCTTTGTATGAGTCTTGCACTGTGTATCTCGCGTGGAGACCTACCGCACAGAATTCACATGGAAGTGTAATGTGACCCTTCCACCGGAATAACAGGTTTATATGCTGCCCAATATCATGCGTGATAGTGAGGCATTCTTCGGTTCATTTTCGGATTTCTGGAATTAATCGAGAACGACTCGAGAGTTTTGTACGCTTGTGTTCTCGATTCCTGAGCGTGGATCGTTACACGTACTTGAAAGTCCTCCCCGTTATGTCTCTGGGTCCTATGCGTGCCTAGCAAGGTATTTGGCTTATAGTTCTCAGGATCGACTTTCCATTAACCTCGGCATTGGAATATGAATGTGTCGTTTTCTTGTTCAGCAATCGCGAGGTTTTTAAACAGCATACATTTACTTCCATAGAAAAGCACAATACAATACAACACTAGCCGACGTTTCGGCAGTATCGCCTTCTTCAGAGCCGCTTTTTTTCGGGTCTTCTAATGAGAAAGTTTGGAACAGCTGATTATATGGTCGACGACTGCACCAACCCACACCAAAAATCGATACGAACCTCAAGGACCTGTTAGTTTGTAGCCATTAGAAATGGCCGTGCCATATTCCGGGACTCCTCCCTCTGCTCTCTTCCCGTGCACACGTTGGTTGCTGTTCGAAACGTGTTTCTCAGAAGCGCCCTGTGATAGGGGTGAGAGAGGTAATGAACTAAGATGTTTTTACTACTTGGCTTTCGGTACCATTTCGTAATGTAGCCATTTTCTGACAGGTTAATTTGGACGTTCAGGAATGGAAGGCAGTTTTCTTTCTGTTTCTCTCGAGTGAACTTTATAAACTCTGACTGTTCGTTCAACAACTCGAAGCATTCGTCCACTTCCTTATGTGTTGAGCAAAGGACAAAACAGTCGTCTATATATCTATCGTAGAGTAGTGGCCCGAGATCGGTCACCGATGCTTCCACGTTAGACATAAACGCAATAGCAAGACTTGGCGCCAATCGTTGTCCCATTGCCAACCCTCTTATTTGAACGTAGTCCTTTCCAGACCATCTGAAGATTGAGCAGCTCAAGCATTCTTTTAAGAGTGCCATCAACTGCTCTGTCTTGAAGCCATACATGTTTATTTCTCCTTTGTGTTGTATAAGGAGTTCGAATATGGCGCATTGCGGAGTGATTCGACACGTTTGTATAAAGGGCGGTGAAAGTTCACCCCAGAGAAACTGAAAAACGAAAGAAAATTAGCTTCAATTCCTGAACGTCCAAGTTAACATGTCAGAAAATGGCTACATTACAAAGTGGTACCGAAAGCCAAGTAGTAAAAAACACCTTAAAAAAGCGGTGTTTTTCGAGAAGTTGTTAATCGTGTAATTACCAAAGAGTTTTTCGTCTTTTTGTAAGTGTTATTGAAGCGTTTGGCCTAGTAGGTTGTATATCAGTATACCCTTCCAGGCTCTGAAGAAGGCGATACTGCCGAAACGTCAGCTAGCGTTGTATTGTATTGTGTTTCTCTATGGAAGTAAATGTATGCTGTTTAAAAACCTCGCGATTGCTGAACAAGAAGAAGGCACATTCATATTCCAATGCCGAGGTTAATAGAACGTCGGTCCTGGGAACAAAAACATCTTATATGAATGCTGAGATATTTGCAAAAATCCGGACCGCAGATGTATGCGGTGGGGAACGAACACGCGCTGTTGTCCTTACCGGGGCGCAGCGCACTTCACCACAACACCATCCGGGTCCTTCGTTTTGCCTGTCTGTCAGCTAGTTGCAAATATCTCAGCATTACATACGAGTTATATTTCGCAACATACCCTGCCATTAAAGAGAGAAAGGCAGTAAATAAAAGGGTTAAAAACATCTTAGTTCATTACCTCTCCTCTCATCCCTCTCATACGAAAAGGGCGCTTGTGAGGAACACGTTTCGAACGGCAACCAAGGTGTGCACGGGAAGAGATCACAGAGAGGAGTCCCGGAATTTGGCACAGCCATTTCTAATGGCTACGAAACTGCAGCTCGGGATAGGTGTAGGGGAAATCCTAGGCATCCAAGTAACAATTCTAGCGATGAAAAAGTCCCGTTTATCCTACCCAAATGGTGTAAGTACAGCTATAAAACGCTGCTTAAGAAGGGCGGGTTTAGAGAATTCGGTAAACGCAGTTGAAATGCCGCCGAGCACTCTTAGGGGCCTGTTAGTTCGTAGCCGCCTATATGACCGTCTATCTACAAAGTAAAATTGCATAATTTGCCCCAGTGGTAGAGACGGTGATTGCATGACCTCGGGTATAGTTTATCTGATCTCCTGTAAGACGTGTGGTGACGAATACATTGGCGAAACGGGTGTTCCTCTGTGTCCGCATATGAAAGAACACCTAGCACAAAAATAGACCAAATACCCCGCTAGGCATGCATAGGACCCAGAGACATAACGGGACGACTTCGAAGTATGTGTCACGATCCTCGCACGGGAATCAAGAACACAGGCGCGAAAAACTGTCGAGGCATTCTGGATTAATTCCAGAAATCCGAAAATGAACCGCAGGGAAGAATGCCTCATTATCACGCGTGATATAGGGCAGTATATAAGACTGCTATTCTGATGGGAGGGGCACATTATGCTTCCATGTGATTTCTGTGTGGTTGGTCTCTACGTGACATACTTAGTGGAAACCTCATAGAAAGCGGTGAGTATGCAGAGCTATGTTCAATGTGATTGAAATCTTGGTTTAGCGTTTTCTTTGTTTGGTCATGGAGGTGCTTGGCCGAATAGATTGCTCTCAAATTGACCTTTCCAGACTCTGAGGAAGGCGAAATCCGCCGAAACGTCGGTATGTTCGTGAATAAAGAATAGGGTAACACCTCGCGTTTGCCCAACAAGAATACGAAGAATTACTTGATCAATGCCGAAGTTAAGAGAAAGTCGGTCGTGGGTTTTACTATGAGGAATTACGGAGGAAGGAGTTGTACTATCAATGAGAAAGGAGATTTTGCGAAGTGACACATCGTTCAGCAGGATAAATCATGCGTCACACAAATGCTATAAAAGGGTAATAAATGGATTGATGAATCTGGAAGCAGTGGAGTACTGAATTAATGAATTGATGCGGTGACAGTACTTATAGAGAGCGCAAGTATTGGAGACAATATCTTCTTGGATTACCAGGGTAACACGAGGTTCATAAAGAAAAGTTTGTTGTACTAAGCTTTCATCGCCTTCTTCTTCTTCAGAGCTTGATTGGCACGAGTTGATGGTCCACAGGTGGCCTTCGCGGTGTGGGCATTCGTTGTCGCATTTGTTGAAGTTCAGTGATATGAAGCTTCGCGCGGACAATCTTACTTGGCGGTGCCCTTTTTTTACTAGACGGATGTTGATCTATTGCGGCCGTCCGGTATGATATGCTTTTTTGGCGGTAAAGCATCCTGCAGCAGTCCGTATTGTGTTAGCTAGCACAGATCAGTCCTGTTCTGAAGAAGACAAAAACGTCGATACCGACTAAATAAACCGAATAAACTTTTTTTTATCATGTAAGCGTAATAATCTAAGAGGGTGATGATTACTGGTGTCTCGCAACATATAAGCAATAGATTTCGGCCCTTTTATTTTCGCTCTTTCAATGGATTAAAGACGGTTCATCATTCGGTCGAAATTGGTTAACAATCTTTTTAAAAATTAAACCTTTCAGAACATAATGAATGGTGCTAGTTCTCCGGTAGTTCCCAATTATTTTGCCAAAACTAGAATGCTTGAGTGTATCGCTACAATCAGGCAAAATCGTTATTGCACACAGGGTCGAATTCTTTCCTCTTTTTCGTAAATAAGATGATGTTTATTGTAAAATAGATCTTTCTGGGCATAAAAGTTAAAGCGATACTAAATTGTTATGATGAAACATGACAACAGTTTAAAACTTACAAAAAACAAACCACAAGAAACTGCGAAAACACTTCATGAATGCTCACACTGTGGCATCGCGCCACACTGAACTACACATCTGCGAATTACGTTTATGCAATTCTCCTCAATGATTTACCATCTTATGGTGGTCAAAATGATTCCCTCAGTGTTTGTCTTCAGTGCTCGGGTGAGGAAACATATGCGTTCTTCGCTAAAAGCAGTCTCCAGCGACGCAAGACCGTATTGGTGTCATAAAGTTGTTTTTAAATTACCAAATATACAATATAGGATCTGTTAATTGCATGTAAAAAATATAGCCCGAGAGGTCTATCTTCTCAAAGAGACCGCGGGGAAGCAAATGAGTGATGGTCAACTAACATTGGCAAATTCACGTTGTCGCGATTGTTACGTCTTTCAGAAATTGATTCACTTTCCTCAACTTTTTAACTTCAAGGGCCGGATATTCTACTCATTCTCCATACCGATGACTCCGAGGAAGAAAAAGGATTCGTTGTGGAATATCGTGAGGCACTGCGCGGCCGAGTACCACCGAAACCGCAACCTACTCGTCGTATTCCGGTCAAGGAGCCCATCAATTTGTGATGCTTTTTTTTAAAAAGTATTTTGTTGATGTCTACACGAAGGCAACTGATACAAATGCCTTAGGATTCTTTGTATTTTCGTTTCTTTTTCCTTCAGTGATTAAAACTGCACCAATACATCCCTCTTTGGTCGGTGAATTCTACTTTAGAAGTTTATGTTCTTCCAGGAAAATGCTTCGTTCATGAAATCACCTATGAGTGGTCTTGTATTTTCAGAAATAGGTCCGAGCATTCTGTTAAGATTGATTTTTTTGCCTCTTTTAATTGTTGGCTATGTAAAGATGTTTTTTCAAACACGATTTTATATTCTTTATTCGTATTAATGTAAAAATTTTTCCCTTTAGTACCTCTAAAATTTCATGGTCATCGAACCGATATTTGAGGTCAACGCATGACAATCGATATAATTGTAGAGAGATTCTGTACCTAATTTAATTGTGGTTGAGTCAATGAGTACATCTATGGCCAGATGGATGGCTGAGCTGCCACCAGACCAAACTGCTCTTCCTCTTCGTTTACTCAAAATTCCTGGTAGGCATTAATTTTAACCTTAATGATGACATGGGTGGCGTAGCTCTACACAATATTTAAAGCTGTATTATTTTCATGTTCTCATAATTCTGGTGCCAGTCCAATGCTTGACACAAAACTTCCGATTGCAAATGATTCGTCTAAGTATATTCGTACCCTTGGGAAAGTTCCTTGTGTGCGGAGAGGGATCAAAAGATGGGCAGTAACTCAGAGGTACACATTCATTTGAATTGTATTATTTTCTTATTTCTTTGAGAAAGCCTTAGAAATATTTCTGCTTCACAGAATGATACGAGTCCTACTCTTGTAGTTTTGGATACTAGAGCAAGTTGTTCCACAAGGCTTGAAAACTAGAACTTCTGGGAAACATGTATAAGTTCATTTTCTGTAGTCAATCTGTTCGTCGACAGCTCGATATTGGTATTCGATATCTCGATTTGCGTGTATCTTATCCTCCTTCTGATGTCCGAATTTCAAGAACGGTTAGTAAATAACGTGGTACACCAAACCATTTATTTAGGAATGTTCCTTTTACATGTGAATATTTCATGAGTCACATGTTATTAAATAACTTTAGAACTTTCGCGTGGTTCACGCACTTTATGGTCCAAGCATCCAAGAAGTTCTACAGCAAGTAATCGAGTTTTTGGAAGAAAATAAAAAAGAGGTGTGTTGAAAATATGGTATGATATATAAAAAGCGGATTGTGTTAGTGGTTTTTTAACCTTGTTTACCTTATTCTGTGTTCTTCCTTAGAGCGAGAGAAGCGCAGCAGTGCTCAACCTAGTCTCAGGTTGAGCGAACCTTCCATCTCTCCGACAACAGCTTTTTTCCCATGTCCAAAGGCTGGTGACTCTCTGTGGTGAAAAAGTAAAGAGTTGGTCACACGGCTAACTCAAGATTCCAGGATGGCTCTTCGCTCGGCATTCAATTACATTCATAAAGGAAGCCAAAATCCTCAAGGAACAGCTGTTCATAAGTAGTATGTCTAAAACCCACGAAATTTCGAAGATCTTCGTGGATGATGGACGACTGAAAATGAACAGAAAGGAAGGAATGCTTGAGCACGCATATTATGTGTAGTTTGGTGGTATGGATGAACGAAAAGCTTTTTTTCTTCCTTCCTGATCACAACATGAAGGTCACTCCTTAGCTACTCAAGTTTCGCAAATGTGGTCTACTCATGGCTTAATATTTAAACTGTAGTTTGGAATGTGTGAAGTGGGTTATTTTATAAACTCCATCTATGGGCGTCGATGGAAAGAAGTGCTCCATAGTCATTACCTGGTCACCATTCTTATCTACAAGAGAATGGATGTAGGACTTAGAATTGAAAATAATTATTACAGGTCGTGATTCTTGACATGAATCATTTCTTCAACATGGACAAATCAACGTATAGAGTACTTCAAAATGAAGTAGTTGCAGTACTTGGGAAGGATCAAATATGTCCTTTCATGAATGTAAATTTGGTTTCCTTAGATTTCATGTGGAAGAACGGTTACCGGTAAGACATCTCCCTTAAATAAGACTACTTCGTCGTTTGTAATAATCTATTCTAGTACTATCTAAAGAGTATCAAATAAAGTATGACTAAGTACCGGAAGGAAAACAGAGAAGCAGATTTCTTTCTTAGGATGCAAAATTATTTTCAACCCTATTGCCACCTCTCATATAGCACTACGAGATTCTATCCCCTTATTTTTTTTTCAGGGTGGTAATTTTTTCTTCTTTTCCTGGAGGCAATCCTACTCTTTTTTGGCCGGCGGTTATGATTTCTTCACCGTGGCCAAATACTAACAATGTTGGCGTTCTACTTGCATTCCTTGATTCAAGCCTGGAACACCGTCGATACAGTCCGCATGGATTTTTCGTTACTCAAGGTGTTTGTACACCCAAGAAATCCGACATAGTAAGCCGTATTTCCTCGCATAGTTGATTAGAACTATTGGAGACAAAGATCTTGTTATAACCTCAAGTTGGATTTGAAGACCGTCACTTTGTGAAACTAACAATTACAGTTCTGTTTTAACAGTTCCTTTACAGATCTTTTCTACAAACAGCTCAAACAGTTACCGTTGAAACTTCGTTGGCAATTGCTTTCTTAGAGCAGATTTTTGTTTTTTCGACCGCTGTTCATGACATAGTAGATAATGACCAAAATGAATTGATTTCAAATAATACATGGTTGAGGATGCTTGCTGCTCCCAAGTTTAAACAAATTTATCTTGCTTCATAGTAAACTTTATGACGACTAAATCTCATTAGAATTTCAGAATTCTTTGAAAGCATAGTACAAGTTTTCTAATCCTAAAACGAGAAATTTCTAGATTTCTGGAGACCATAAAACTTTTTTTGGCTACTTTTCGTTGAGAGTATTTAGAACAGAAAAGTGACTGAACATGAAATCCCGCTGAATAGATCATGTACATATTTGTGGGTGCCAGGCTTACGTTAGAATTTCCTCCGTTTGTTTGCAGTTTTCAGTTTTGAAAACATTCCTTGGTGAAAGAAAACTTTGGGAAAATGTATATTTGCTTGAACATATAAAATAAAGGTTTTTCTATTACTCTGTCAAGGTTTCGGGTTATCAAGCTCTATAGTTGTTGATACCTCCCTACGGTTTACTGCCTAATCGTAGCTGGGAGGTGTTACTGCATGGGCTGCGATGTACAGCGGGGATTCATTCCGTAGGTAGAGTCTTCCAAGCTGAGAAGGAGACCAACGTTTCCATCAGGGAGCCTGGCTAAGAGTAAACCAATACCAGGATCCACCACCGTCCTGGTATCAAAGTCGCAAGGTGGCAAATCGCCCTTTGATTCACAAGGGCTGCGACTACCTGTGGTGGTGAAGACCTGGGGCAGACTTTGACCAGGTTGACGTAGGGATTCCAGGGAACCGACCGCAATGGTTTAACCAGCAAATTTCCGGTAAATGAAAATTATGCTGGGGCCCAGACAAGCAGTGAGGACGGGCCATTCAAGGATCATGTATGTATAATTGTTGATAATTTATGGACAACTAACTAAAACTAGGGTCGGTTATTACGTACTAAGGTGTATTGTGATGCATTCTTTATTAAAATTGAAGCCTAGAATTAATAATGAACAGTGTTATCAGCTGCCTCATCCATGTTTTAGATTCGTCGGTGGCCGTCTACGTTGCAGTCGTCGTTCTGTCAACGAACGAATGGAAAAATGCTAGAATGGCTCGATAAGCTATCAAAATGGAAACAGCAAACAGTAAACGTAGTCATTCTGGATTTCGTCGAAATAGAATATTCGCGAAGAATCATATCACTCAATTATTCTGCCAAACGTTGAGTGATCAATATGCGTAAAAAGTTTTGATCAAGATCGAGCTTTCCTCTACGACATATTTGTATTTCCATGCTGCTCGCTTTGTTAAAGAGCGCTATAAAATATATTCAACCAATTCCATGAAAGCCGCAAATAACATTGATTTTGAATGACCATTGTCATGAATCGCATGCTGCTATGGTTAGAGGCTCGTTGGAATAGGAACATAGTCATGATTTCGATCTCAGATCCCTGACAAACCATGTCCATTCTTCGTTTCGATCTCTGACCCCAGACAAACCATGGCCTGCATTTGTTTGGGAGGATACAAATCGACCTAGCGGAATGCATGACTCCTCCAAAACGAATTAACACTAAATCCTTTATCCCGTATACTTAGTGCTTTCCTTCTGTTACTTATTATTCCGTTCATTCTTCTGTTTTACAGATTGTATTATATTCACGTTGTTAGCTTTACGAGTTCCAGTCCCACTCTAAGTCGTCATCGTAACCAAACATCGTGTGTTTATTACGTGCTCATGAGAAAACTGAAAAATCCTGTCTAGATGACACTGTAAATATTTCGTGGAAATTGTTCAAACTTTGATATCTAAGTGTTAATTTGATAGGTATAAAAGTTCAGTTTTGTTACCGAAACATTCAGTTGGGACGATATTGCTTAGCCAAGATCTTATTGATGTAATGGTGAAGACCTTAGAACACTCTTGCACGGCAATCTCAGGTTGCCATAGAAAATCACGCTCAACCAGGGTTCAGCATGTTAGTGAGGAGCACATGTGAAGATGAGTGGGGTAGGTATCTAAGGAAATATGGTATCACCTAGATAACTCGAAAGACCTTCGAACGCATGGTGGACAGACAGTTCGAGATTTCTAGATTTCTAGTTCGAGAGATGAGAACGCTTTTTGCCATTATTTTTTCTATAACCCGCAACAAACATAGGCCTGCTCGAATTGGCGGGTTTCAATGATTTAATCAGGAAGGTATTTGCCCCTGAAACATAGTTTAGACGGATAACAAACAAGTAGTCAAGTGTTAATCTCCACGTGAGACACATTGAAAAACTAATAGAAAGTGGAGAGCGTCCGAAGAACCTATTTTGTGTTTAACGTGATTGAAATCTTGGTTTAGCATTTTCTCTATTCGGTTATGGAGGTGTTTACCTGGCTAGTTTGCGGTCAACTTGACCTATCCAAGCTCTGAGGAAGGCGAAAACCTCCGAAACGTCAGCTTTTTCATAAATAATAAATGAAGTAACACCTCATGTTCACTCAACAAGGATATAAGGAATTATTTGATCAACGCCGAGGTTAATAAAAAGTCGAGAAAGTCGATCGTGGGCATTGCAAACGACTAGATTTGTATTATGTAATGTCTTCATTTAGAACAATTTGACTTCCTCAGAGATGGAATTTATAACATACAAACGAGCAGCGATATATGTGTAACATCAGTTTCATCAAAGTGTCGCAGTGTTTACAGCAGATGTTTGAGATGTTGACGTCGTGTTTGTGCACTTACCAGCTTCTCCCTCCCGAGAATGTGCTAAGATATAGTTCGGCGATCAGCCTTGCAACGTCTAGTGACTGTAAGCCCTGCCAATGGGCTTCGTTGTCTTACAATCGTCATCCAAGAAAGTGAAGTTCGTGAGTTGGTTGAGTCTGCTGCTTGAGGGTTTTCTAGTCTCGTTCAAGACATGATGAACGCTGGTCGAGCATGATTTTCCTCGAAATTCGGGCTGTTCATGGATCGTTCTCAGATCGTCATCATTGACTGGTCTTTGTGAATCGTAGAAACGTTCACTACTCTGCGACTTGGATTCCTCCATAATAGCACTGATTCCTTTGACGACAGCAAATCACTCGACTAGATGACCGTGCATTTGACTTACTTACTTACTTTATACTTGAACGGCCTGTCCTCACTTGTTGTGCGGACCCCATCATAATCTCCATTTTTCGGAGATTTGCTGGTTAAGCCATTATGATTCCCTGGAGTCCCGAGGTCAGCCTGGCCAAAGTCTGCCCCAAGTCTTCACCACCACAGGCAGTCGCAGCCCTTGTGGATCAGAGGGAGATTTGCCACCATGCGACGCCCTAGGTGGTGGTGGATCCTGGTGTTGGTTTACTCTTAGCTAGGCTTCCTGATGGGAACGCCGAACTCCTTCTCACCTTGGAAGACCCTGCCAGAGGATGAATCACCCGCTGTCCATAGCAGTCCGACACCCAGGAACACCTCCCAGCCACGGTGAGGCGGTAAACCATTGGGAGGTGCAACTACAATGTAGGAAGCAGAGTTCATGTCGTAGATGAAATGATCCAAATCTCAGCTAATACTTTCAAACGACAAAAGAAAGGAGCTAATAATCGAAGAATCAATAACTTCTGTCCACGTACGAGATCTTAAAAATGCTTCCCATAAGCACAAGAGGTATAGTGACCATGTACTGCTCATCTGCTTTCAACACAACAACTATATTTCCATTTTAACTCTATTTAGGCAGAACACACGTTTACTTAGCGATACAAACGCAACATTGTGCTATTTTTGGGCAATTTTTAGCTAGCAGTGGGCTTCACTTTAAACCCCCTTAATACGCCTGTGCGGACAGCGGTCATTACAAGCTTGAAAATCACGCTAGACTACGTGACAATTTCAATGACTATCTATTATTTTTCCGATTATGCACCCATTCCTGAGCTACTCGGGGCGTTCATTGTAAGGTGTGCGTGTAGCGCAGTGATTAGAAGCCTCATGCAATACACATGAGATCGATCCCCCACCCAAGGCTCACCAAGGCTTCCCCTCCCCTCAAGAGGCGGCAAATCGGTGCCAGACTTGCTTGGGAGGATAGCAGCACTGGCTCGATACATCGACGGTCCACTGGGAGTTATTGTAAATGCCAGAAGTGCATTCAGTCACCTCCAACGATGCTTAGTGAAGTCGAATGCATGGTGCTTCCGTCAAGGATTGATCAACCAACGCCGAGAGCTTTATCGTTTTATCCTTTTATATATTACTGTTAGCAATAAGGATAAATCGCCCGGCGTTGATAAGTCATTTAACCCATAACGAAGGATTTGTGCGCTGCAGTGCACATTCTCAGTTCAATGGGTTCAAAATTTTTTACCACACTATGTATATCCATTCTATAGCTAATCGCCAGCAGATGGAAGTAGGCCTGGGGACACAAAATTCACTCTCTACACTTAATAATTTAAAGAACGCCCTTTTCAGGACAGAGTAATTAATCCGTAATTGGACTTACAATTAACTGGTATTTCATGTTAATTACTGTGATCGATCATGGTTATCGTATAGAATGCACGGGTATAAAGAATAAACCAAGATAGACTCAACATCTGCCGCAGAACTTCCGAATGCCAGTGCCATACATATATCCATACCCAGAAAAGAACAGAGTAGAGTCTCTTCTACAATCCTGTGTCAGTTCGAAAGCTCTCAAGGCTCTCTAGCTATTGAAAAATTACAGTTTATTCTCAAAAAACCAGCGAGCCCGTAAAGACTGAAATTAGGCGTTGTCGTCAAAAGGTCAGGGAATGTGCTAACACTATCCCGCCCACTCATCATAAAGGTGATTGAAAACATATTTGGCTTATACGATGATTTGTGTGGCAAGTCAATGTCGCTACTCTCTGACAATCCTGGTCCTAATTTGCCGACTCCGAAGAGATCTGTAGAGCCGCACGGCACAGCTTTTAAGCTGGTGATTCCATGTAGAGCTATCACACTGGATTCATGTCTACAGAAATGAAGCGACAGTGAAAAGAGAACGGAAAAGCTGGCACGGTCTGGTAGTCTATAAAGTGGACAGTGCGTGATGATGACCGAAATATCAGAGCATTTTGAGTCATGGGAACAGTTTCCGACACTAGGGAATACAGGAAAAGGTGTTGCCAAAAGAACTTCAGAAGGTTTATATGTTTATGAGGAACGTATCGGTTACGTATGCCCCATTCACCTTCAATGGAACGAATACCTCCTAATGCTCCAGTTACGTCTACCTAGGTCGAGAAATCAGGATAGTGAACGACTTAACTCCAGAGATGAGCAGAAGGAAATGAGCGGCTTGGCGAGCTCTCACGGGTGTCGAGAATGTAGCGAAGAGAACAAAGAACTCCCGACTTCGTACCCACCTTTTCGATTCCACGATACTTCCCGCCCTAAAATATGCGCCAGAAACCTAGTCGTAACGTAAGCAGGAGGAAAGATCACTTAGCGTTATGTAGTGCACAGTCGAAAGGACGATGCTAGGAGTATCCCTTGTCACAGTAAGAGTGGAAGGAAATAAGGGCGCGTGAATCGCAGTGGTTAGAGATACTCAGAAAAACAATGTCGTCATTGTTAAGATCTCTTGCCCCGAGCTCTCTTCCCTCTATCAATTTGGTGTCGGCAAATTGGTACCAGATTTGTTTGAGAGGACAGCAGCACCGACTTGCTACAGCGGCAGACTACAGCAAGTCATCGTATAGCTCAGAAACGTATTCAATCACCTCTAACGATGCCTAATGAAGTCGAATGCATGGCGAATCCCACAGGGGATTGGCAACGCTGAATGGCTACCCTTCTGTTTATGGAAGGGATTTAATTTATATAAAAAACAACGCTGCATGCGATGGGTATTCTCCCCAGCAAGTTTTTTTTCGGTGCGTAATAGCATTCAGAATTGCGAGCACCAGTACACCTTCCATTATATAACCAGCACCACAAAGTGAGGAACCAGACAGCAATGAAGATAGGGGGAAGATGGGGGTGGGGAAGGAACGGGGAATTGTTCAAGCGTCAAGTACCAGCAGTCATCGGCGTTCTGAAGTGCACAACGTGTGTATGACTTGACGTCTTCATCGTGCTCCGCGACGAGAGGAGCCCTACGTCGGTCTATCCGTTTATTCGGGCTGTATGTGAATCTCTATGCCGATCTCGAACTCTGTAGTATTCTTGATAATTTCATCTCTGGCCTTTTATATGTTTTGCTTTCTTGTAGTGGATCGCCACTTGCTGTATTACATCCATTCATCCAGAAATTTTTCGTTCAGGACCCGCACGACTGTTTCTTAGTTCAGGGGCTGCTTTCCACGAAAGACGAGAACATGAATTCTGATGCTCTGCTAAACCATACCAGCATCGAAACACGTTAGTTTTCTACACCGATATTTTGTCCTTGTCATTGTTCAGTATCGATTTCTAACTAATGTTATGTTTGAGAGAATATTTGTAAAACTTTCCTTTTCGATCGATTCTGTTATTAGCTGTCTTAAAACGAATCAACTAATCTTGTAATTGGACTTGTGGATTCTATCCAGATCTCCGTTTTCTTTCTACTCCTATCAGTATCGATTTATCGTGCTCTTCTCTTTAGAAATACTTGTTTCAGGGTTAGCGGTATCGGATCTTGCACCTTATGTGCTTATGTGCTCCATTCGTGTGGAAAATTCCGTTTTTCGCAACGCCATTATTAACATAGTTAATTTTATTTACTTACGGAGATCCCTTGCTTAAAAGTTTTATTTCTTCTTCAAACCGACCTTCATTAAACGTCGGCGGAAATAAGCGACATCTTCGATTACCAAAGAAATACGAGACTGACAAAAAGCTTTATTCGGCTAGCGTTTCGACGTCTTCGTCGTTTGCAGAGCCGGATTGATTCGAGTTGATGGTCCATGGGTGGTCGTTGTTGCATCGGGCGTGTCAAATCCAATGGAGGAAGCATCATTCGAATCGAGTCTAGAGAAAAACAAGTATAGTCACTGTAGACTACAACCGTCCTGTACGAAAGAGCACTGGCGATTGAGGTTCTGCATTCGAACGCTGCTCCATCGGATTCAACTTGATGCGATCACGTAGATCCACGTCGGAAGTGGGAATAGCCGTGGACAATCGACTCGAATCACTCTGGTTGTGAAGACGACGAAGACGTCGAGACGTTGGCCGGAGTAAATCTTTTTATCAACCTCGTGTTTGCTTAATAATCGAAGAAGGTATTTTTAATTTGTGTCGCTGTGCAAGGCTTAGACTTAGAAGTTTTGGCGAGTATATTGGAGCTCCCAATTGTTGGAAAATGATTATTGTGGTTAAAGAAGCATTCAGGTGAGGATGAAAGTGAAGGTGGAAGAGTTAAACGAAATTATAGTTAAATTCAACATGGGTTTCATTTCCGGTATAATAAGGGATTTAGGGGTTGTGAATGTCGGAGGTGTACTGTGAGTGATGTGAAGAGAATGGCATAATTTAGATGTGAATGTAGGGTTGCCGATTTATCCATTCGGGACCTATATGCTTAGAGTCTATTTAAGTTAAGTATGAAACTATGTGAATTTGATGTATATACTACAAATCATGCGTTTAGTACCTGAGCAGCTAAAGCGTATGTACAACTTGCAAAACGGAACCAACGACATCCCCGTCCGTGCAGTCTTCGAGGATTTGGATGCTGACGGTTCTGTGAGCGGTTCGCTGCATCCAAGAGAACGTCAGCAAGCCATGGATTCGTCTTCATCAATTGCCAGAAGGGATCCCGGCAGCGCCACTAGCAACTGGATCCGCTTGAATGTTGGAGGAAAGGTACTAGTCAATTTAAATCATTTCGCATAGCATTTGTTACTATCTAACTTTAAATTACTTGCATATCTTGGCTTGAGAGTGCAGTTACATTGTGGTTTTAGATCTTTCAAACAACGCGGGACACTCTCATGAGGGTTCCAGGTTCATTCCTTTACCGATTATGTCAGGACGACAAGAGGCTTCCTAGTGTTAAAGTAAGAACTTCATAACCTCTAAGATTTGGAGAATATGGAAGTTTTGCTTAGCTAAATTATTGTTACTGCGTATATTTCAGGATGAGACTGGTGCATATTTGATCGATCGTGATGCAGATTATTTTTCTCCTGTTCTTAATTATCTTCGACATGGCAGACTCATAATAAATCCTGGGCTCGCTGACGAAGGTAGAAGGCTAAAATTCATTTAACCCTTTTTTGAGGAGTCGCTACCTCTTTCTTCCGCTCTGGAAGAGCAAATAAAATTTATTGCTTTGGATTATTCTTTTCTAGGTTTACTGCAGTATGTTGTTAATGTTGCTAAGATATGTGTCTAGGCGTTCTCGAGGAGGCGGAATTTTACAATTTACCCCAACTAGTTCACCTTGTTAATGAAAGGATCCACGAGCGTGAACGAAGTGGCAATGAAGTTGGGGTCGGTGTTTCTTTTTTACATTTTTGTATTTTAGCATGTTGAACTGTAGATTTCTAACACTTTTTAGTTTTGATTTCCGACATAACGGTGTTTATCAATGTTTGCGTACAGTGTTTAAGTATGGGTATTATTTACAGCAATCATTTTTTATTTGCTGCCTATTTTTTTCATGTCAGGGTATGATGTGAAATATAACCACAATTATGTTGTAAAACATGACTGAGAGGCGAAATGAAGGTTCCGCATGGTGTGGTGGTGAACGCGTTTGCCACAGGAAAGGGTAACATCGTGTTCGATCACCACCGCGAACACCTGCGCTCTATAGTTTTGCAAATATCTCAGCATCATTGTGGTTATTATTTACAATGTTTAAATATCGGATAATGTAACTTGGGAATTAAGGTTACGTTGTATCAAGTTATACACTTATTGTCCAAAATCTTACAATTTCCAGAGGTTCAAGAGCGTTTACCGTGTTATACAGTGTCACGAAGAAGAACTGACTACATTCATATCAGCAACCAGCGATGGATGGAAAATTGTCCAGGTTTGTATACTTGAAATGTATTCTCAAGACTTGGATCTTTGGTATTGTAGTTTTTTAATTTGTCGTTTTTATAAACCTGTGGTCATCTTCGGTTTTCGCTATTTACAATCTTAGTGTTTCACTAGTCCATTTCTTTGTGTTTTGAACTAAGTTAATAGACATCTTCTACAAAATTTATTTCATGTTGAATTTAATACCTTTACGTCTTTTTCCTGTGCAATGTAGTGTCGACAGAAGGACATATATTTTGGATAGGGTTACAGACGCGATGTCAAGATGATAGTGACCGTTACGGAGAACTGATGAGATATGAGCGCGCGATACGCGTTATGAATAGCCTAAAGAAGTTTCAGTACTAATTTCGATAGGAAAAGGTTTCATCGTTCTTGAGGACATTAGATAGGTTTTGTACTGCCACTCATATTTTAGAATCCATCTATTTGAAGGTCCTTCCTGTTCAAACCAAATACCAAGATTATACTGTTGACAAACAGCAAGAATATTTGTGTATTGTTGTAAGAGAATGTCCTGATAATGGCTCTGTCAGTGATAGCCGAGACAGGGCAACTCTACTGCAGCAGAAAGCTAGACGTGAGTTACATTTTTCCTTACAGCAATATTTTTTTCCTCAAAAAACAAAACATGTTATTTCTCCAACAAGACATGTCAGCGGATTTTTCTGTTGTCTTATGAAGTAAGGTCGACATAAAATTGTATTTCCGCAATCTATACAGAGGACCTTCCAACAGTTTACCGCCTCATCGTGGCTGAGAGGTGATCGTGAGTGTCGAACTGCGATGTACAGCGGTGTGATCCATTCCCCTGCAGGCCATTCCAAGCTGAGGTGTTCGGCTTTTTTATCAAGAAGCTCAGCTAGGAGTAAACCAACACCAGAATCTACCACCGACCGTTCTGATATCAAACTAGTCGTATGGTGGCAAATCTCCCTCTGATCCACAAGGGCTGCGACTGCCCGTGGTGGTGACGACCTGTGGCAGACTTTGGCCAGGCTGACCTCGGGACTCCAGGGAAACACAGTGACTAAACCAGTCCTTTCCACTCCGAAAATTGGAAATTTTGCTGGGGTCTGCACAAGCAGTGAAGACGGGCCGTCCAAGTATTCAGGTAGACAAGTATACAAAGGATAATGTTTACACTTGTGGTGAAACTTTTCAAATGGACTTTTCCAGATAATTAAGATGTGTCATTTCTTGAATCACTTGACGTCTGCCTATTAAAGCTATACAAATTGGGATTGGTACCAGATTGCAGTCTCTACAACTCTCACCTTTTTTGGTGGTCCCATGCATAACATTAGGATTTTTTAACTTGTGAAATCATTCGTACATTTCCATCTTGTATAGCTGCTCAAATTTTCTCCCTTTATGGTGGTTCTATCTCAATCTCAGTCTATTTTTTTGTCGCATACAGCCATTATCTACGCCATGTGAGTCTGTACCCATTTTTTATTCACAGTTATAATCATTCATATTACTCGACGTTTCCTCACACTGTCCAGAGTTAGCATATTGTGGCCTCAAGAATTGAACCAAAAAGTTATGCTTGCGAGCTAGGACCATTTCTACCCACTGTTATAATATGATGTATTCTACGATGTTTCCCTTGGATTTCTTGCTTAATGATCTCTTTCTCGTATTGAGAACAGCTTTTCGATAAGATTCAATTCTTCTTCGTTTAAGATACTCATTGACTCAATTTTTTCAAACAACGAACATAGGGCATTCGCGATTGTAAAGCAATATATGATTAAATAGAGTGTGGATCACGTTTTCACTAATATGCTGAATGGCATAGCAGTCTTCAGCCAATGTCTGCAGTTTTTTTTTAGCAATTTCCAGATAAATGAATGTTCTAAAAGTAAAATATTTATGATAGTAATTATGTTCATGGATAGCGAACAATTACAAGAGATAATTTATTAGCAGAAGACAACAATAAAAAATTTAACGCTAAACCACCAAACGGTACGTAATGTAGCGACCAGCTGTCTCGGAAGGTCGAATTATTTTAACCACCTGACCTCGTTTCAATCCGAAATACCTTGCAACTGGGTCTGAGAGTTGAATACGGGGCAGTTGCGTGTCCTTCAGCTTGCTGAAAAGTCAAGTGGAACATGAAGAGTGCTAAAGATGTTGTGCAATATATGGTAGACGGTTCAATTCTGTCCCTAGCCAGTCGAACTCCCTCTATCTCTCTAATGTCGGTAAGTTGTTATCAAAATTGTCGATGAAAGGCCCTTTTTCAATCCCTAAAGGTTGGCGATGATGTGTGATGAGAACTTTATAGCACTTTTGAAGATCTATTCATGGGTTTAAATCAACTTACCCAACATTCAATTTATAAAAAGAACAAGGAAAGTACACCCGAACCCGATGGCAAATCACAAGACCTTTGTGGATCAAAAATGCAGGACAATGAGCAGAATGAACGAACGACTGCGATATGCTGAATGTATGAAGAACGACAAGGTACTCACTATCTGGCAAGCAGCTCTGCCTTCTCATCACTGGTCATGACGACATGTTCTGGAACAAGTTCGTGTTCGGTGATATTCACCATAAGCTCCGATTCAAGGAAGTGTTCAAGAATATATTTAGGAGCCATATCCGCGATCGCCTAAAGACCCTATAGATAAACAATATAGAGTGAACCAAACGCTGGAAAGAAATCGACAGCAGTATTATGAAGAAGAAGCGAAAACGAACTGCCTCAACTAAGGCAATGTTCCGAACTTAAAATACACAGGTAAATACCTGTTTTGCACTAGGGGTCATTCCATTCTGAACAACAATGATCGCTCTCGTGATGGTCTGCTCTTGCATTTGCTGACATATCGCTTTGATTGTCTTGATTCCAATCTTTGTGTCCTCCGGGAAGAAAACAAACATTTGATCTGGAAAAGTAGACGATAAGATTGTGTGCAAATCTGTTACATCATATATAAACAGTCGCGTTATTTCGTGAGTAATCACATAACTATATAACGTGGAAAAAAGAAATGCATGTATGGAAGGAGCTTCATAATTTCCTAGAAATAACTCCTCTAACTGCTAAACTACGGTTGAGATCGCACATATTCAAATACAGAAGCGTATTCGTAAACACCTGTTGGGTCGTCGTTGTGTGCAACGAGGATGGTGAGATCGCTACGAGCTGGCTTCCGTTCACTTGGATGCTCTCCGAACATCTCTTTGAATTCGTCAAGAGTTTGATCCAACTCTTCTTGGGTTACGAGATAACCACGATCATGACACATCTTTAATAAAAAGCTTGTACAATTCTGTTCTATTTTCTGGACCAGTCTTACTCGTCACATAATAATAAACAGAGGACATATCTACCACTGGTTCGTTTTTGAACGAGATAATAAAGGAAAGCAATCACAGATCCATGACGCTCTTCGATCGTTAGGGCTAGAATTACTTGAACAACACATTCACCTGCATAATGGTCTTTCTCACTCTCCACAGTTTGTACGTCTCCTGTTCGTCATCTGCCATCCTGTTATGCGAAACCGATGCAAAAGATGCCTTCAAGTTGATCTCATAAAAATTAAGCGCGAAAAAAAACGATAGAGACAAGCTTTGGATGGATTAGATCAATCAATAAGGTTGAAAACATATAATAACAGGCTCGAGCACTCTTTAATAAATAGAACCGTATTCGAAACCTTTAAGAACTCTTCACAACTGTAAGAGAAGGCAAACAATATATAGCTAAATTAAAAGAGAATAAAGGAAGCGTACTAGGCTGGCTACTGCTACTCCTTCAAAACAGGTACCAACAGATTTTTGCAAATGACCTAATCGACCATGACTCTGTTCTCGATGAACATAAATGCTTTGCAATGATTAGACAGAAATTATGAAAAGCGCAGGACGGTGAAATACTCTGGGAATTAAAAAGCATCACCGGGATTCGGATGATGTTCAATTTCTGATGGTGACGAAAATGCAGTGGGCGGATCACTAGCCATTTTACTACGAAGGACCTAGTTGGGGTAAAATGTGCCATGAACGGAAAACTAAGCACATCCGTAGAAGACGATATAACCGCGAAACATATTTAGTAAGTGTAGAGGACAGAGAACGCACACCGAGTGCCCTTATCACGCTAGTACAAATATTCACATTTAAATACATTTAATCTAACTCTAAAGAACTAGAAGCGACAATCGGAATCCTCGGACAGCGTTTTACATATTGTTGGCTTCACTATGCGAAGACATCAAAGAGACATCTGTGGCGACACCCATTCCTTCTGGTTTTATACCTAAAAATTGTAAAATTAGTTTTAAACGTAAGAATGGAAGATTTAGCGATAAGTGTACCCGAAATTCAATTTTTACGTGTTTGTGAAAGCCATATATAGTAGAAGGGTTTGAAGGTCCAAAAAAAGAGTAGTATGAAATAGGAATGAAAAGCTGCGTTCTAGATAGTTTAAAGTATTCACGGCAATGATCTTCTTCATAGTAGATTTACAGTAAATATAAAACCAAAGAAATACGTCTTCTGGTCCCTAGAAAGTGGGAGTTTCAATATCGTCATAAAAAGATAAAGGATAAAGCACTCGCTACTGATCAATCCCTGAGGGATGTGCCATGCATTCAACTTCATTAAGCAACGTTGCAGGTGAGTGAATGCATATCTGACCTTTACAATGCCTCGCGGTGGCCCACCGACGTATCGAGCCAGTGCTGCTATCTTCACAAACCAGTCTGCTACCAAATTGCTGACCCTGAGGGATGGAAGGCTTGGTGAACCTGGGACGCTGGAGTCGGCACCATGTGCACTGCAGGGCGCCTCCAACCACTGCGCTACATTCGCCCTTAGGAAATTTCATACCACTATATAATATGGAAACTCATATCTTGCTGGTAAAGACTTGCAAATTACACCGAATTTTACTCCAATCATTAATTAAGTGACAAATTCACAACAAGCAGAAATATTTATACCTATTTGAAAGGCAGAATTATTCTCTGGAAATATGCACAATGAAGTCAACGCACATCGCGAATATGTTAAAACAGATCTATGGCAAGGCTAAACAACATTCGCAGAATTAGACTGACTTCACTGCAATACTGTCCTTGTTATGCAAAGCTGTTAATATTGTTTAATTTCTTAACAGTGTAGAATAACACAGCAGTGAAGATGGAGCAAGCGTTATCCAGAGATAACAGATAGTATTTACAGTAAAGACATATTGTAAGATAGTAACGAAACAAAAGCTGCTGGTATCTGAAAAAGAGCCTAACGAACAACTGACAAATTCAGAGCTTAATGCTTTAAGCAATGTAACCGCCATGAACAACGGTGTAATGAAGCTTAGTTGATACACAACCTTAGTTCAGAAATGGCAGTTCGGACGTTTTAGAAAAAAAAACAGCATTTTTGTGAACTAGCCCAGAGTGTATCCATCCAAGAAGCACGAAGGCCATAAAGTACTGTAGAAATGAACAGGTGACCAATAGTATTAGAAATGCAGATAACAGACAGTACGCTAGGTTCCTAAGGAACACTAGTTAACGCACGACAAAACAGCTAGGGAAGAAAAACTTTGTGCGGCTGATCTCCTGGTGACATATTCAGTGGAACACTCATAGAAAGCGATGAGTATGCGAAGCAGTTATTTTGTTTTCAATTCGATTGAAATCTTGGTTTAGCATTTTCTCTGCTTGGTTATGGAGGTGTTTGGCAGAGTAGATTACGGTCAACTTGACCTTTCCACGCTCTGAGGAAAGCGAAATCCGCCGAAACGTCAGCTTTTTAGTGAATAAAGAATAAAACATCACCTCGCGTTTGCTTGGCAAGAATATGCGGAACAAAAGATTGTGTTTGCTCGTGTTAACTAGCTATATATGTAACCAGTAGATGCGTGAGGTCATAATTTTACAGGTTTAGTCGAATATTTGAAAAATGTGATTCAAAATGGCAAACCATCTTTAAAACTATTAGGAAGATTCACTACATGCGGAACAGAAGCTCGGTAGCTGGTAGGTACAACTAATCGTTTCAAGCAAAGAGAGGATCCAATTTGGAATAAGAACTACACAACATGCTGAACAACACAGCTAAAGCTACGTTCCATTGTAACTAAAGAACACTGTCATAAACATCAGTAATGTCATAACTAATAGAAACATACCAAAAAGAAGTGCTCCACCAACGAGTGCGACAACAGTGAACCCTTGAGCCAGGCAGCGACCACGCATATAAAGCTGTGCTTTCTTAGAATCTCGTTTTAACACCGAATTAATAATTCCTAAATCTGCACTCTGTAACGGCAGTTGGTATAACTTTAGAAGATCATACATATACACACGTGTGCGTATATATATGCACGTGTGTACCATCTACAAGCAAACACTACATGTATATACGTATACACCTTATAAAGTAATGCTACACAAAGCCATACCCATAAGGCATCCTACTGTTGCGACCATTCCAAGTGGCACAAACGGATTAGATATAGCTCTATTTAGAACAGTAGTTGAAAGTCTCTTGCTATGGGATCCCTCTATGATAAAAATTCTATGAAAGAAAATGATAACTACTGCAGAAAACGACAAAGAGAAGAGCATTATATTTTAAAAAAAACAGATATACCACTGTGACGATGTTAAGAAGCTTACGCGAGAAATCCTGCGGAATCATGGGAACCGCATTGGAATACTTTTCACGCTCAACCTAAAGATTGTAGTTTGACTAAGTATGGAAAGACTGACCCAAAAAGTGTGAATGGAGTTCGAACATATAACAGGACAAAGGAAATAAGATAAAATCTATCCCTAATTGCGAAAACAAACCAGCCACTTCATGTGCTGCTTGTAGTCCGTGGAAGCATGCGATAGAGTGGACGACTCGGGCATTCTCCTTATCCTCTCTGGAAAAGCACGTAACTGTTTGGAAACGAGAAAGATCAATATGCACTGAATTCGTTGAGAACAAGAAGAACAACGACATCATATTCCACAAAAGGTAGCTGCACGCTCTATCAAGACATCAAAGGCTCATTTCCTGACGAAAAATAAAGTAGTCTTGCCGCATTTACGACATTTCCGGAATTATCGCAAACGTTTCAAATGCCATAGTTTGCATCCTTTGGTGAGAGTTCGAAGTCTTTTGCGAGACTCCCATCGGCTCCTCGGTGTCGGCAAATTGGTGCAAGACTTGTCTGGGACGATAGCAACACTGGTTCGATACATCGGTAGGCCACCGCGAATCATTATAAAGGCCAGATATGCATTCAATCACCTCCAACGATGGTTGATGAAGCAGAACGCTTGGCGCACCCCTTAGAGATTGATCAACGCTAAGAGCTTTATCCTTTTTAGTTTTATGAGGCCTTGATGTAAATTTAATCTGTACACTCACGAACATTCTCCACCGCGAAGAATCGTTGCCACTCGAGGTGATAAACATGTCTTTGCAATTAGAATGCATTTCTTCGCCACGGTGAGAATCTGCGGTTCCAGTGCTTATAAATCTTCCACCAATGTGTTGACCATTGAAGATTTTCATTGTACGGGATTGGTTGGATGCTTGAAGAAGTGGCGATCTGATGGTGAGAGGTCTGCTAAGTGCGGTCGACGATAACTGATTTTGCATTGCATCTGCTTCGACGTTTGCAGGGTTGGTTGTGCAACAAGAGGTCTGTCTTTGTTGTACAAAAGAAATGGTTCTTTTCAATTGATGCCAATTGCGTACACTTTGGTTCTTGTACATTTTTTCGATAACGTACTAGAGTTTGTTCCAATGGTTTTTTTAGAAATGTAGAAGTTATTGTTTCAAGCTTGGAGAAATAGGAGAGTTCAAAAGTCTAGAAAAGAAATGAGGAATGAAGAAAGGAAAAGAGAGGAAGGAATGAAAAAGCTGTAGAGGTCTTGTTCTTTTGAGGGTGTGGTCCCATCTTTCACCACTAGGAAGCTGCCATAACCGCGCGCGTACCTCTGGCCTCACTGAAGTGCTTCGGGGCTTCATCTCTGCCCAACACAACGTTGAAAATTGTCGACAGTCGAAAACTCTTCATTTTCATGCTGAGCCATTTGCAAAACTCTGGACTGCAGGTGTCTGCAGTGTGGATTGAACACCTTATTAACTTCTCCGGAGACCAGTGGGTCCACCAGCACATCATGCGGGTCCTTCGTTTCGCCTTTCTCCCAACTAGTTTTCTCCTTATTTTTATTCACTAATCAAGATGACAAAAGATAAAAAATGATAAAGCTCTCTGCGTTGATCAATCCCTGAGGGGTCCGCAATGCATTTGACTTCATTAAGCATTGTTGAAAGTGATTGAATGCATATATGGTCTTTACAATGACTCGTGGTGGCCTACTAACGTATCGAGCCAGTGCTGCTATCCTCCCAGACAAGGCTGATACCAGTTTTCAGATCCCTGAGGGACTGAAGGCTTGGTGAGCCTGGAGTACGGGGATCGATCTCCTCTGTATTAGTAAGACTCCTCCGACCACCGCGCCACAAGCGCCCTAGTGATGAGGGTACTACCAGAAAAAGGCCGGGTTTTGTGGTATTTTACAGAAGCATTATAATGAAAATTTATGAGCTTTAATTAATTTTATGTGGAGCCAACCTCAGTCCTTTTCATGAGTTTCCATCTTAGTCACGCTTAGTTTGTTCGTAAGGTTTCTTGGAGTTGCATTCTTCTTCGACGCTCCGAAACACTAGCACTTGTGTGACACCTCGCTAGGAGTCAGGAAGGCTCTACCACAGTTTTTATTCGAATCCTCGTGCAGTGGTCATCCGTGGTGGTCAGTTTCGAGCACGGTGACGCCTCCGAGGATCGTTTTCGTGCTCCATGAATTGTGTCCAGCGGTAAATCCACCTAGTTTACTGGATTCACAAATACGTATGCCCATCTTGTGTGTATTCATCATAGAGGACGCTTTCGTCCTCACGGATTCCACTTTGTTGTTATTCATCCACCTCTGTCCTCCGAAAGCATTTCACGGATTATGGACCTGATTGTGGTCGAAATGAAGTTTTGCAGAATAGAGTTTTGCCTTCTGAGAAGCTACGGGTGTCGACGAGAATATAAGATCGATTGTACTCCTTAAAATATGGACTACGAGACTTCTTCCACAGTTGACACATTATTGAAGTTCTGATCCTGCTTTTGTATGCGATTACATTTCGTGTCATTCTCTGACAAGGGCGATCATTAGAGGTTCTATGGCACACGCACCTTCGGTTATGATGTCTCAATTCTATGCTTTGGACTCACAAAGCCCTCCATTTTAGTATGGGAAAATTGGTTCCAGACTTGTCTCGAAAGACAGCTGTGCTGACTTGCTGTATCGAAAGGCTACAGCTAGTCATTATATACCAGATATGTATTTAATCATCTCTATGACTCTTGAAGAAATTGAATGAATGGTGCATCCTTCAGAGATTGATCGACGCTGAACGCTTTACCCTTTATCCCTTTTTATGATAAGGGACATATCAGCATGAATTATGCCGACAACGCAAAATATCATCAACAAGATGGATTTTACAATATCAAACCAGAAATTAAGCTTATTAGTTTGGAGTTTGGGGTCATTTTACCGTAATGATAAGTTCGAATTTCGTCGACGATACTTTTCAGAACGCATTTATGGCACACAGAAGAAATTCGTCATCAAAGTAGCCATTTATTAAATGGATAAACTACATCCTTGGGAAGAGAGCACATTTACAACCTCTTATCACACACTTTTATCGCCGATGGTGTAAACGTTTAACTCAAAAATATTTACTTTCACTGTAAAACTTCTGGAAGAAGCATGTATAGAAGTATCTATAGTATGTAGCAATAGTAAGAACAGACAGAGTACGCATTCATTTTATATTACCATACCATCTCACTGGTGCTGTAAACCTTTTGTTTAAATATTTAACAATGAACAACTTATACAGTCATCACTGATTAACAACTTGCCTTTCCTGCATAGAACTTCTACTTCTTAAATGTAGTCGACATTTTATACTTTTTACATATAATCGTGACATGACGAGTTGTCGGTCATCGCAAGCATGGTGCTTTTTCGATTCCGCTCCAGGCTAACCAAACCTCTCATTCCTCCGGGGTCGGGAAACTGGTGCCGGACTTGTCCGAGAAAGAACCAGCAATAGACGAAATTACTCGTGAAAAGGTAGAAGATCTTTATGGATAATGGATGTGAGGAAACGAAACGAATGTGAGAAGTGCTGCGATCCGCACAGTGGACGTGAAGACGGGTCATATAAAAATAAAAAAAAACGTTTAATGTATTGATTGGCCCGTGGAATATAGAATAGTAGTCGGTCGGATTTTTCCTCTGTTCTCCAGATGTGAATGGGAAGCTCGACTTCCTTGGTTTGCCACGCTGAACTTTTACTCGTGTAGTAGTGTGTGCCGCAGTTCCTCAAACTTTGGCAGTTGAACCGTTTATACGGATATTTACAGAGGCCTTTGTGACGTAATTAAAGGGGGGGAGGGGAGGTCGTGTGATGTATAAGTGTGACGGGGAATAAAGTAGGGGCGGTATAACAGGTTAGCACATTTCAAAGCACATGGGTGCTTCTGACATTACAAAGTGGGAATAACAATGTGATAACGAGGTACAGTGGAATATCACGCAAATGTGATTAACTTAAATAAACATGTGTTTAATTGATATTATGAGAGCTACAATAAGTGGTCATGAGGATAAGATTCATTGGAATGACTGATATGAAGTAGCCTTGCCTGGATTACTGATGGAAGACTACCGTATGAAGTGAGCCAATGCAATGAGCGCGGTGATTGTAATGAAATAGAAATGACATTGTTACGGAATAAATCATACATAACACGAGTACATTGGCACAATAAGAAAACTAAAATAATTTAGAAGGGTGCGGGCGATCATGACGAGTCGTCGAAGGGCGAATGGCAGTGCTAAGGGGCCTGGGTCGCAGGATCAAGGCACGGGTGGCGGGATCTAGAATCCAAGCAATGAGTCGTGCCCGGTAGCATGCCTAATGGCGTTCCTGATGGTTAAGACAGAATGTAAATATGGGGCAAGCACGCAAGCGTTGTGACAAGTATAATACTTCACTGCATAATACGTTACATGCAGTTACAAGAAATGCTCTCTATCAACTTATAAGGAATATTTGTTAGGTAGATAAAGAATTTTCTATTTGATAGAAAAATTCTCTATACATAAACGATTTTTACTTCTTACATACAACCAACATTTGGTACTTTTTCCATATAATCAAGTCAGCGTCTCCGTCTTTTGGCACTCGATATGTTCTTTTCGGGAACATGGTATGGACAACATTTTACATCAAATAAGGAATATTGTCTTTAACTTCTCAATCACATCCACAAATTTGTCCTGACATAGTCCTTTCCTGTAATGCTTAGCCATCCCTCTGTGGACGCACTTTATTGCTATTTTATGAACGTTCTGTGGAAGTTATGCTATCGCTATCCAAACGTTTACACAAACGAAGGTTCCTGTATATTGTTTTGCCTGATGTGTCTCCCATCTACCGAAGTAGCTGTATCAGATTGTGCTAACTGTGAAACATTCTAGAATCCCCTTATAAGCATCATAGCTGCTGATTTCTTCTATCAGAACCCCGCCCTTTACAGAAGGAACATGAGCAGCTTCAGCTCGCTCGAATATCTCTCAGTCTCTCAGTTTCAGCTCTCACAGTCTTCATCTCCTTTTTACTTTCTTATTTCACGTAGTAGAATTCTAGTGCTGAGTTTTCCACTCATATAAGCAGCATGAGCCTCAGTTGTATGCTATGCCTTTTCTTCTTCAATCACTGATATCTTCGTTAGCGATTCGCGACGTCATACCGATGTATCAGGTCAGTGCTACTATCCTCCTAGGTAGGGCTCGT